TTACAAGCTAGTAGGTGGGATGCAAGCCTTACAAAATTCAAGAACCTGCCACATTAGTAAACATAAAAACCTGTATTTGAGCAGAAAAGAAACTTGTCCCAATTCCCCCCCATTCTCTGTATACCACCCCCCCCACCCCCAACACACACCTTTGCCTTCAGCTACTGGGTGGTCATTTCTAGGTCCTTGGAATGTCATAACTGAAAGGAGTGTTTCTACTTTGGCTGGAGGCCTTGGATCAGCCATATAGTAATAATGTGATTTGTGATAAGTCATTGAATCATAGATTCAGTGTAAGCTCTTGAAGGGCTGGAGACTAAGATCAGCCACAAGGCCAGTTGGCCATGTTTATTTAATGGAGTCCCAATAACAGCTCGGACACCAAGACTTGGGTAAGCTTCCCTGGTTGGTAATACTCTACGTATATTGTCATAGATCAAATCTGGGAAAGTAGCACTAACCTGACTTCAAGAAGGGAGGATTATGGGAAGCTCTGTATTTGGTACTTCCTTGGACAGTGACTTTCTTCCCTTGCTCTTCAAAGTTTTTGCTTTGACTGTGGGACTTCTTTCTTTGCTTTTGGTACTACCTTTATGAAAACGATTAAGATTCATTTCTTTTAGAGAAATGTATCCCTAATTTAAGACAGATTGTCTTAGTCCTCCCTTGTGGCAGAAGGGGTTAAGTCTCAGCATTATGACACACCCACTGCAGCACAAATTTGACCCCCAGTGATGGAGGTGACCCGCATGGTGGCCCAGCACACTTCTGTCTGGCCAACGGCTCCCTGCAGCAGTGTATTTCAATAGATCACCTGTTCTGTTTCTTAATTTGTCTTCAGTGAATCCTTTCACCCCCTGCACCTCTGGCCTGTACCCCAGTTCTTATGTGCATAAATAAATAACAAGTAAATCTTAAAAAAAAAGACAGACAGATTGCCTTACATAAACAGCTATATCCTGCAGCTGTGAAAGCAGCCCAAATATCTTTAGAAGAACATCTCCAGGAAATAAAGCTCCACTACTATACCATCATCAAGTTCTTCCTGGTCAGAGTCAGTCATAACGAAGATAAAAGACAATACATACTGGTGATTGTTGTGGGTGATTGTTGTGGGTGATTGTTGTGTGTCAAGGCCAACATGCGCCAGATCGAACAGACTGTGAAAAAGCTCTATGACATTGACACGGACAAGGGTCAGCACTCATCAAACTTGATGTAGTCATTGTTGAGCTGGCTCCTGATTTTGGACATTTCCAACAAAACTGGGATCATCTAAACTGAATTCAGCTAGATAGTTCTAAATATATATATCTTTTTCCTATTAAAAAAAAGTGAATCTTAGTTTTCCTTCCAAGTCAAGCATCTTGTTTGAAAAAAAAAAAAAAGCTGAGAAAATAGAGGCCATGGTGATGCTATCTTGTTTCAAGAAGATTTTCATTTAGTTCTATCAGATACTGGGACTACCAGCAACCAAATTTTCCTAATTTACTGATAAGGATTAAGATTTCCTGGGCCATTCATGTGATTTGAAGCTGGGTTGCAATCCCTGCAAGAGCTACTTAATTTCAGGTGTAGCTTTTTCAAAATCCCAATTTAAAACAGCCCCGGGTTCCAATTTCTGTCCTCTAGTCTGCGATGGTATCACATGCATCACTCAGTTTAATTCGGAATCTCTTCTCCCCGAACGGTGGAGCAAAAGGCCCCAAGTTTAGGATTTAAGTCACTGGATTTTGTTTTTCTTCTTCACCTTCACCTGTTTTCTTTCCCCATGATATTAGATTTGTTTGAAGAACTCCCTTGAGGTTATGGATGTTTGATATAGATGACTACATCTGCTAGAATGTTGTGGAACACTGTACATTAGATTTGTAAACAGTATTTGAGATAGATTTTTTTTTTATTTTATTCACTGGCTTTGTGATAATGGCTCATTTTACTTTACTGATTTGTAATCAATACAATCGGTATATTGCTTTATTTTAGCTCTATGTATATGTGGATCATCGGATTTCAAAAAATTAAATGATATACTCTAAATCTTCCCTAAGTATATAAACACTTTAGTGGCTGATGATTCAAAAGGCACCTGCACTGCTAGTTCTACTCATTGCCTTATACTTGCCCAACAAGTAGACATTTCATGCTGGAACATCTGATAAATGGAGGTGGAAGACTGGAAGGAACACTATAAGCAAATGGCTTTAGAATTAGACCGACAGTGATTGAAATCCTGTTTCTACCACGTACTAACCTTACCAACCTAAGTTATTCAGCTGCAATATCTGTACATTGAGCGTGATGATGGTCCTTTCACAAGGTAACTTTTTGGAAGAAATTAAAAAATTAAGTGTGACTGTAATTATAAAGCACTTAATATATTCAGAACACATAAATGCCTAGTAAATAACCATGGCTATATTAGCCAATTAAGATGCATCCAGCTAAGAGGGGGAATAAAAGCAGTCCCAGAATTTCTGCTGGGAGGGGCTCAAAAGCAGCAATCACTTTGGAAGGCACAGTAAGATGTGAGTTTACACTGGTTCGGTGCTTAGTTGGAGAAAGCTAGGAAGGGCTTCAGGAGAATTAGAGGGACTAGAGGTTTCTTCCACACTCCTTGGCACTGGCCCTCCCAAGAGGTATTCAGGGGATATCTTGCACTCTCCCTTCCAGTTCCAAAGAACTACCAGTCCATAAATACAAAACAGCTATTGCCTCCCAAAGGGAATGGGGTAGAGTGTTGTTCTTCCTTGCTAAAAGTGTAGATACCCAGTGCTTACACCTTTGTCACACACCACTCATTTCTTAGCTTGATCCAGTGAAGAAATTCCACTTGGACTGCACTCCAGTCCAGAACCTCCTGGACTGCAATCTTATTTTGGAGGGAGGTCTGGGGCATGATTTGTGGTTTTAATGGCCATGGAAGAGTGGCTGGTTCCCAAGGGCACCTTTCACCTGGTGGGGAACAGCTCACTCTCCTTGCAGCCTTACCTAAGGCAACGGGTACAACTTTGGACAGATCCATTCTGGCACCAGCTCAGGTCGAGGATATATACTAGGACATACAGAGAAAACTTCAGCCAGACTCTCTTACTTCTACCTGGATACATTCTCCTTATCCCTTGGGCAAGAGAGGCCAACTCTCCAGTTTGGAATCCATATTTCACCTCCAGTTAGCTTGTGACCTTGAGCAGTTATTTTTCTGTGCCTAGAGTACCCTACACCAAGACTCCAAGGAAAATCAACCTGGAGAGTTTAGCAAAACACCTGCACAGAGTAAACAGTAAGTATCAGCAGTGATTACAGGTCTAGAACCAAAATAGATATGCGAGGTGGAAAGACCCCAGGGTTCTAGTGAAAGTCTCAACATCACACAGTCAAGTCTTGGTGAGGTTGCCTTTTCTTCCAGATCTGTTTCTCCATCCATAACATTAGGGACTTCACTGATTAAAACACACAAAAAAAGAATCAGCTACCCAGTGAGCATTTCCTGAGTGCTACTATCTTCCAAGCTCCTTCCCCACAGGAGCTCACTGCTACAATTGCTAATCAGGCTACAGTTACTATTCCTCCTTGTGAGGGTTACTAAAGGTGGGGAGATTGCTTCATCCAGCTTCAGGGGCAGATGAGGGGTTAAAAGATTCAAAGAAAATGGTGTCTGACCAAGGCTTGAGGGATGATTCCCTCAACGAGTTTAATTGATAAATATTGGAGAGGTTTTCTCCAGTTGCTGTTCCTTTCAAACTAGAGCTTTTGCAGGGATGGTGTTTTGGAAATACGTCCACTTTTTTTTAATGAATAATATAATAGTTTATTTTTACATCATTTTATGCATTTTCCCATCTCAGCTATAATCCCCTTGGGCTTCCCATCACCAAATCACCCGTGTGTGCCATCACCATAGTCCAGTGCATTTCCCTCCCCCCACTGTTGATCCCATTCCCCGCTAAATGTCTCTGGTATATAGCTGTTCATCATTATTATTATTTTCTCGCCTGGTCTGTTATATTCCTGCTATGAGTGAAACCATCTGATATTTTTCCTTTTCTTTCTGGCTTATTTCACTAAGCGTGATCTTTTCCAGCGGCTTATTTCACTAAGCATAATCTTTTCCAGCTCCATCCATGTTGCTGCAAAAGGCATGTGTTTATTTATTTATTTTGGTTGCTGAGTAATATTCCATTGTGTATATGTACCACATTTTTTTAATCCAGTCATCCACTTTTGGGCAGTTTCCATGTCTTTCCAATTGTAAATAAAGCAGCAATAAACATGTGGGTGCAGATATCTTTCTGAATCAGTGATTTTGGTGGGATTGCTGGGTCATATGAAAGCTCCGTGTTTAACGTCCACTTCTTTTATTCATCACTGAGGTCACTATGACCAAGCGAAGCAAAAGAGCCGCAAAAAGAAGGTTATGCCTATTTGCCACCCACAGAACTGGTTCCAACCCACACGACTATATCTGCTCCCCTGGGGAAACACTGGGCGCAAAGTATAGTGAAGCTGCTTTTGCAAGGGAACACCTTGTCGTCAAACTCGAACAGAGAAACGAAGGGGCTACATCACAGTAGTGGCATCGGCCTTGCCGTGGGACGCGCACGCTCCGGAGGGAGCCCAAAGCCAGGTGCCCAGCACTCGAGGCGCCAACCCCTGGCGGCTCCAAGGGGGCTCCCGCAGAATTCGCTTTGCATGGACCTGGGCTGCACAGCTCCACCGAAGGTCAGCGGCACAAACTAGAAAACCGCATCAGGCACGGAGTGCCGGGATCCCGGCGCAGGCCGCACGCGCGCCGGGTCAGGTGGGCGGTGCGGGCGCGTGCCCCCGCACCCACGAGAGGGGGCGGGGC